ATAATTTATAATTATAGAAAGAAAAATGGTAAAAAAAAATAATTAAAAAAAAAATATCTTTTTTTTTCAATTTTTGGGGAAACTTTCTTTTAATATTGAATATTTGTGGTCGAAACAATTTTTTATAGACTTTTCCAAGTAATTTCTTTTTTTGAAATAGAAAATTGATCCAATAATAATGGAGATACGAATTTTTCAAAAATTGCTCCATCCGCGATCTTGAAGTGGCTGTTTTTCGGAAAAAAATAATTTACAGAAATGCCCACATACCATTTGGTAATCTAGTAGTCCCATATTTTGATAAAATAAAGCATTTTCAAACTTAGCACGAGATCGAAGCGAGCGGCCGTTTTTGAGCCCTATGATAATAGACTAAATGTTCGTTCGTCGGTATTGCCATTTAATCCGTAAGATCCTTCTTAGGCCATTTTTCTAGGCTTTTTGTGTGTCTTCTGTAGGTGGTCTAGGTCTCGCAGCCATATGTAAGCGCTGGTATTACCATTGCATTGCAGAGGCGAAGTTTGGTCTCAGCGCTGTCGTGATTGTTGGTGACTCTCTCTAGAAGTCGCTCAAATGCTGCGTTGGCACCTTTCAAGCGATGTTGGCATCAATGGATGCATTTGCTGCCAGATGGCTCCCAAGGTATGGGTAGTGTTCCACGGTCTGCAAGGAATGGTCATTTATACTTAGTTATATTTGGGGCTTGGGGATTAGTGCCCGGTGCGGGTTGGTGCAGAATCCGCGTCTTGTCGAAGTTGACCTCTAGGCTGATTCTCATCTTCCTGAATATCACTCCCTCCGTTTATCTTCAGTAGACAGACATTTTCCTGTCATATATATAATTTTTTTAGGTTAGTTAAATACTGTTCAAAAATTAAAAATGAAGAGAGCAGAGTGGCCTCTGTTGTTGATTTTATAGTTTTAGTAGTCTTGTTATTTTGTTTTTCTATAGTCATATTAATTATTGATACTTTAGTTTTAGTTTATTAGTTTTGATATATGTAATAGAAAGTAGAGCGTAATGTCCTGTAGTCCTGTTGATACTTGTTTACTAAAAAGAAAATTTTACTGATATTGGGTTTTTATTCATCAGTTGGTATTCATTTAAGTAGCCTGAAAAAAGGCCCTGGTGCTGTTGGATTCAGCTACTTGCTGCATTTCGTTTGATTTTCTTATCCGCCATTGGTTCTTTAATGCTCGCATTTGCCTTCGAACTTCTGCTTCCTGCTCCTTCCTTTTTTTTACAGTCGAGCCATGGTCGCTTGTCCATGCATTATGCGCTTTTCTCTTTCTTCTTATAAGGTTTTGGATTTCCGTCTCGTTCCCATCAAACCAGCTAGATGTTTTTTTTGTATGTAACCGACCGTTTCTTCCGAGGTGTAGATGTTATCGCGATCTTCAGTATTTTCCATTGCTGCGCAAGCTTTCCGGGTACAGGGTGATCTATTATAAATGTAACCCCCTGCTAACTTTTTCATTTGACGTTTTTGACAGAAGTGTCAAATACAAAAGTTTCAAGAAATTGTCAAAAGTTTTTAACTAAGTCAGTTTTAGGCATACAGGGTGCGTCAAAAAAGTACAGCAGTGTGAAGTTATATTTTTTTAAATGGAATACCCTGTATATTGTGCGCCTATTTGTTAGTCCCCTTTAACCTGATTTCAACGCTATATGGTTTTATATGTTTATCCCTCGGTTTACCTTTAATAGGTATAGGGAAAAACACGAAAATTCCTTCCTAGGTCTCTCATGTTATTTTTTTTTAAATAAAAATAATAGCTTAGACATCTGGATTTATTATAATATTTCACCTTGTATATTAATGAATAAAATATGAACAATAAACTGATAATAAAAAAAATTCTTTAAAGATTAAATGGTATAATAGGGTCCTTGCAGATATTTTTTTTATTGTATGAAAATGATTAGACTTAAATAGTATCCCTCCAAAATATTTTCACAATACGTGGAATATTAAGGTCGTAATAAATAATTAAAATTCAAACTGGCTAATTTCCCGCTAAAAACGTAGCCTTGATATTTCAGCTGTCAGTGTCGTCACAAGGTATTGTTTTGTTTTAACGTTCTCATGATTCTTATGAACCTTACATTTTTTGACGAAGTTTTTAATTATTTTTGAGTTGAAATGGTTTATCGGTATTGTATTGTGCCAGGATGTAGAAGTACAACAATTTCCACTCCTGGAAAAACTTTTATAAAGCTACCTATGGAAGAAAAACAACGAAAAATATAGCTAGAAGCCATGAGACGGCAGCCTAAAGAAATCTCATTACAAAGTCATGTTTACCTATGTGAAGACCATTTTGATGTAAGTACATATTGAGATTTGTAAAGTTGTGTTGGATTAAAAATTTAATTTAAATATACTCCTGGACAAAATTATCGCACATAAGCACCATAAGCAGTGGTGCGATAATTTTGTCCAGGAGTATATATAATATAATAATAAAACGTATGGCGGCTAAGGCCAGCCGTCTCGGTTCATACCTCGTGACGTCACAATTAATGGCGTAGCTTTTTCCTATGACGTCAAATTAGAAAAGCGCGGGCGAAGTTTGTTAATTAATAAATTGGGTAATTAGAAGTTTTTTTTGGAAAAAAATATTATGGAGGGTTATTTATTGTGTTTAAGAAGGTATTTAAGAAGTTTTCAGATAAAAATTAAAATATGTGCAAGAGGCCTATTTTCATTTTTTCAATATGAAACCTTAAAAGGGGTTTTCATGTTTTTCCCTATAGAAGATAGACATATCAAATCCTATATCGTTGAAAACAGGTTAAAGGGGACTAACAAATAACCGCACAATATACAGGGTGTTCCATTTAAAAAAATATAACTTCACGCTGCTGCACTTTTTTGAGGCACCCTGTATGCCTAAAAGTGACTTAGTTAAAAACTTTTGACAATATCTTGAAACTTTTGTATTTGACACTTCTGTCAAAAACGTCAAATGAAAAAGTTAGCAGGGGGTTACATTTATAATAGATCACCCTGTACCTACTCTAATGGAAGTTTCTGGCTTAGATAGGCTTGGAAATTTGTTCTGATAATTAATCTTCTTGAAAGCGTTCTATGTTAAATTTGCGTGTGAACTGCTTTTTTTGACACGCTTTGGTGGGATGCACAAGTTCATTCTGGCTCGTATCAACCGATGGTCAATGCAGCAGTCATCCGCACTTTCGGTCTCTAGAACGTTCAATTATACAGGGTGACAATTTGAAAAGTAGCAATCGGGAATATCTCTTAAACAAAAAAATAGTATTAGGAAGATCTCAAAAACGTATCGGGAGATTGGAGGGAGTCACCGCACCTCACCTCTTAGGGAGCAGCTGGCTACGCTAACTTTTTTTTTTTAAATACGAATAAGCTACCTTGTGTTGCACATCGTTGGATAGCTCGTTGCTATCCCTTCACAGTCCTATAGCAAAATCTTAAATGCGTTTGAGATATCGGTGTTTAGAAGTAAACAAATTTTGAAAACTAGTAATGTTGACAAACTCCTAAACAAAAGAGTTCTGGCATACACATCGGCGAAACCAAATAATGTGTTTATCATAATTCTCTCAGCTTCTGCACGCCTCTACAGAGGAATAAAAAAACCTTTTAAAGGAGGTAAGTTCTCATTTTAGAAAAATTATAAGAGGTGGCTAGCGGGTAGCGAGTAGCATAGTCTATTAGAGAAAGTAAATCACTCCCTGTCCACCGTAGATTTCGGGGGTCTCTCACCCGGAGAACTAGCACCTGCATTAGGGTTCCTTGTCCAGGGTCACGAGCGAAGACTATAACGGTAGAGAAGACGGAGATGAGGTACATCGGAACGGCAGATCTAGCGGAAGTAGCAACCTTGCTTTTAAGGCTAATATAAAAGCAAATGATGTAGGGCAGCAGCTATTTTCATTACCAAGATGAAGCGTAAAGAGAACAATTCTGCACCGGTTCATCATTGGAAATCCATAAGTGTGACTGCAACATTTTGAACAGTTATGGAACTGCGATGAGGAAAGCAAGGGGAAATCACCTCATTAGTTCTCCCTGGAAATCGTCATGGCACAAAGAAATGACACGCAACAACCTACTAATCATGGTTCTCGGATGCCAAGATTCGGCAGGGGAAGAGACAACGTAAACGACAGGACTTCCCCGGTCGTTAGCCAGCGAAATTCCTGTTTGTTGAAAATACACAAATGGAACGTAGGAAGTATGTAGGAATCTAGTAAATTAAGAAACATAGAGCAAGAGATGCTGCGATTAGAGATCGATATACTTGGAATAAGCGACACAAGATGGGTCAACTCGGGTGATCTTAATACAGAGAATGGAGAAGTTTTCTACGCTGGCAGCAATGACAACCAACACCGCTATGGAGTAGCTATAATTCTTAAAAGAAGCCTAGTGAAATCAGTGGCATCATACTAATGTCTGAAAGAGTCCTGTTGCTACAACTAATGACAACTCACGGCAAACTAAATCTAATACAGATCTATGCACCTACCGCTGACAAAAATGAAGAGAAAATAGAAAACTTTCATGATCTCCTTCAAAGGGCATTACAACTTACCTAATCTAGAGACATAACAGTAATTATGGGGGGTTTTGATGCTAAACTCGAAGAAAGCAGGTGTATCTCTACTGTAGGACCATATGGACTTGGTGTTCGCAATGAAAGGGGCGACCATCTCATGAGGTTCTGTCAAAAGAATATATTCTTCAAGGTTATAACCTTGTGGTGGCCAATACATTTTTCAAGCTGCCCAAGCGACCGACGCCTGCATACATGGAAATCACCAGCAGACAAAGATGATAATATCGTTAGAAATCAAATCGATTTCATTTTAATAAAGCAAAGATACCCAAACGCAATGCAATCAGTAAAGGCTTACCCAGGTGCGGACGTATTTTCTGATCGTTTATTGCTAACTACAACTGAAAAAGATGCAAACCAGTCACAAAATCGATATACTAAACATAGAGAAACTTAAGTCGGAAGAAATCAGAAATAAACTCAAACAAGAAATCAATGAAAATTTAGAAAGAAATATCTCCAAATCTCAACAAAATAAAGAAAACCCAGAACAACAATGGCAACTCATTAAAACATCACTTTTAGGACCCAGTAAAAAAGAACTTACGACAAACAAAGATAAAAAAGAAGATTGGATGACAGACGAATTATTAGAATTAATGAATGAAAAAAGGAAGTACAAGGCAAAAAACAACACCTGCTTCAAACAATTGCAAAGTAAAATAAGAAGAAAAATAAGAGAAGCAAAAGAAACTTATTTCTCTGAAAGATGTAATGAAATAGAAGAGTTACAAAACAGAGATGACAACTTGAACTTACACAAAAAAGTCAAGCAACTAGCGGGATTTGGAAAGAGAAAAAACTCAAACATACTTTTGGATAAAGAAGGAAATATCACAATGGAGATAGAAAAAAAAATGGGAAGATGGAAAGAATACATAGAGGAATTATTTCATGACCAGAGACAGGAAAACACGGCTGCAGACTATTAAGGTGGAGACATAGGACCTGAAATAACAAAATCGGAGGTTGAACATGCACTTAAATCCATGGAGAATAAGAAATCTGCAGGTCCAGATGGAATACCAAGCCAGTTGCTCAAGTTGATCAACGAAAAAAACACAGATTTTTTGGTGGAGCTGTTTAATACAATCTACAATACAGGAATCATCCCACAAGAAATGCTTACATCAACATTTATATGTCTACCGAAAAAAGTCAATGCTAAAAAATGCAGTGATCATAGAACTATAAGCTCAATGTCACATACGTTAAAAATTCTCCTGAAAATTATATACAGCAGAATTCATCACAAGCTAGAATTGGACATCAGTGACACTCAATTTGGTTTTCGAGATGGGATGGGTACAAGATAACTAGAGAAGCATTATTTTCTTTTAACGTGTTGACTCAGAGATGTTTAGATGTTAACCAGGACCTCTATATCTGCTTCATAGGCTATAATAAAGCTTTTGATAAAGTGAAACATGACCAACTTATAGACCTTCTCAAAAGCAAAAACCTGGATGGACAAGATATAAGATTAATTTCAAATCTGTATTACAATCAACGAGCCTCAGTAAAAATTGGACAGGAAAAATCTGCTGAAATAGAAATAATAATAGAAGCATTTGAAAATGAGACCGCTGGTATAAAAGTAAATTGAGTTCTGATTAAAAACATCAGATATGCAGACGGCACAGTAATAATACCGACAGTTTAAAAGAATTAGAACGAATCATGAACAAAACATTTAGGTGTAGTGCAAATTATGGACTCTCCCTCAATATCAAGAAAACCAAATTTATGAAAATTTATAAGAACAACAACACAAATGAAATTTTAATGGTCGGAGGTCAACAGATTGAAAAAGTGAAAAGATACACTTACTTAGGAATAATTATTACAGAAAACAATGATTATACCGCAGAAATAAAAACCAGAATTGAAAAAGCTCGTACCAACTTTATAGAAATGAAAAAAGTCCTGCGTAGTAAAGAGCTGACGTTAAGGCTCAAACTAAGATTGACTAAATGTTATTTCCACAGTGTGCTTTATTATGGGGTGGAAGTATGGACAGTGAATGCAGATACAATGAGACGACTCAACTCTTTCGAGATGTGGACCTATAGGAGAATTCTAAGAATTTCTTGGGTAGATCGAATCACAAACATTGAAGTGCTGAGAAGAATTGGAAAAGAGAAAGAGATTGAAACTACAATTAAAGAGAGGTAGTTGCAGTATCTGGGACACATAATGCGGGGCCAGAAATACAGTCTTCTACGACTAATAATGCAGGGAAAAATAGAAGGCAAGAGAAGCGTAGGCAGGAGACGAGTTTCATAGCTGAAGAATCTGAGAGACTGGTTTGAATGCAGTTCAAAAGATCTTTTTAGAGCAACTGCCTCAAAAGTCAGGATTGCGATAATGATTGTCAACCTCCGTCGCGGAGATGGCACTTAGAGAAGAAGCTCCCAAGACAAGAGAGGTGGGGGTTAGTTAATAAACACATTTGGTTTCCCCGATGTGTATTTGAGACTTTTATGACAGAATTATTTCAGTCAAAATTACTATTTTCCAAGATGTGCTCACTTTTAAACACCGATATCTCAAAAACTAATCTACGATTTGAGATTTAGCTATAAGACTGTAAAGGGGAGGCAACGGGCTATCCAAAGATGGGCAACACAAGGTAGGTTCGTATTAAAAAAATAAGCTAGGGTAGCGTGTTGAATAAAAAAGTGCTTCATTTTGGTTCCCCTTCCGTCCCCCGATACGTATTTGAGATCTTCCTGATAGTATTTTTTGTCTAATTTGCGATTGCTACTTTTCAAATCGTCACCCTGTATAATCGATTACTGGCATCTAATCTGGCTGTGACCTAGGGTGTTGCCAGAAAGTTCTGAAACTTATAATACTTATAAAATCATATTGATTATTTTTTCTTCATGCTCAACCCTAGGACAGGCTGTCATAGGAAAATATTAATTTTAAATACTTTTACATTTTTGTTTTATTTTGCGTAAGATTTTATTTTTCTTTCTCGCCTAGTGCCAAATCATTAGAATACCAAAATGGATAAAAATCCATGCCATTGCCTCCAACAGTTTGATTCAAGCTGGTAATTGAAATATATCAAGAAAAGCTCTCTGCATTATAAAAAGTTCCTATTTATTGTTAAAAGGATGTCACAAAATATGGATAAACAATAACCATTGTTGAAAGATTGGATGGTTTCTTAAAATCTTTTTCAAAAATATCTCATGTAATACCTTTGGTAATACTCACAAGATTAACAAAGATATTACGTTTTGAAACAAGAGCGAAATGAAAAAGAGGCGACGATTAAAAAAAACATCAAACAGATTCCCACATATGAAAGCGTTCCAAATTTTAACCCCGATGCCGTTGCCTTGCAATTCCTCGCCTGCTGCATCAGCCATGCGAAAATTTGCAATGCAAGTCCTCAATGATGCAGGAATATAATATTCCAGCTTTTAGACGATTGAAATAATTCCTTCTGATGCAAATGTCACAGCCTAGATTACATTACACACTAAAACAAGATTTCATTGCATTGCTTCTCTGTAATTTGAGAATGTATTAGGGCATTATCTCAAATATCTATTCTACACACCAAAATTTCGAATTTAGATCAAGGTAGCTTTCAGTTCCAGGATTAATTGCGTAGAGCTTAAATAAGAAATATTCTAAAATAGGATTTTTTCCAATGGTTCTTTCACTGTCGTCGTACGAGGCGAAAGCAGCACCGCTTGCTGACACAGAGCATTGATTCGTCAATAACATTTCTAAATAGTAAATGGTATCAATTTATGTTATGTTTATTTAAATTTAAATAATCGCGTTAACTTTTTTATACATAAACTAATTAGAAAAAATCAAATATGCTCCATTATATCTTTTGGAATAAGTTAGTTCTGCCTGCCCATGTTTCATATATTTTCAATTAGTTCAAATTTAACTTCTGACGAAGCTACGTGTTAGCGAAATGTCAAACTCAAATAAAAATAAATTTGTGGTGAATACAAGTATGTATGTACATAGTTTTAACAATTTACTTTGTATTTTATCAGTAAAATAAAATGTTGCGATCCTCTTCACCCTCATATATAAATTTCGCAAATTTTGAGATTTAATTTGATTAGCATTTCTAGAACTACATTCAAGTTTGCATTACTCAAAAATGCGGACAACTATTTAAATAACAATTGTTCCAAAAGTATTAATTTAATCAAATAAAAACATTGTTGAAAGGTTCAATTGCGAAAAAAACTTCAAACTAGTTAGTATTTTCAAACTTGTAACTGCAAATATATATTTTTTTAATACATAGTTTTAATTAGGAGGGTACGAGAAGTTGGCTAAAAGGGCGTTCGCTCTTTTCAAGTACGTAGGTACCTACCTAATGTTGGCTGAATGAACTACATACTAAAATAGTAAAAACTTAAATTTATTTTATTTTATCAAGCAATGCCGCACCTGCCAATGTAACATAATCAATCACTCAATTAACTTTTGGTTTATAAGCTTTGGTCCAAAAGATTTTTCGGAAGTAGGAAAACGAATTTGTCTTATTATTGATTTCCTTCGAGTTACGAATTCTACGGAGAATATTAGGTTGCTTTTCGAATGATGGATCAACTCTCTGGGAATAGGAAATGGTGTTATCTAGGCAACCTCCCTTGCGATATATCGGACAACTCTTATTTATTCCCAGACAAATTTTGCATAGCGTGGAATTCGAGCAAATGTACGTAATCAATCCGGAGTAATTTGTTGGTCTGGTAGAATATTTTACATGATTTTTCCTTGAAAAACAACGCATCGATAATATATTTTTCTACGAGTGTGCGCAAAGTAACTACTTTGCGCACACTATGCGGGAAAAAAAATTTCCCGCACACTTTTTTTTCTGGTACCCATAATAAAATCTGGGGACCTCCTATTTGGGGGGCAAAGCCCTGCGAGAGCCCCATATTTGGGGGCGGAGTCCCGCGGGCGCCACTTTTTTGAGAGGCTCAGCCTCGCGGGGGCCCCTGTTGAGGGGGCGAAGCCCTGCGAGAGCCCTATATTTGGGGGCGGAGCCCTATATTTGGCTGCAAGGGCCCCATATTTGGGGGGCGGAGCTCCGCAAAAGCCCCTTTTTTGGGGGGCACAGCCCTGCGGGCCCCCTTTTTTAGGAGGCAAAGCCCCGCGGAGAGAGGCCGACTTTTTTTTTGGCCGATTTAGATATACAACAAATTGTTTTTGATGCCTATAGAAATTAAAAATTTAAAAAGAAAGTATAGTTATTTCACTCGTAGAAAAAATATTGTTCCTAACACGTGCGCAAAGAAGTTTTCCCGCACTTAAAGCTTATCTGCTTTCGCGTGCGGGAACACATAACTTTGCGCACTGATTAGGAAAACTACTATTGCAATTCACTTTTCCGCCATTAAAAAGTTGAAGCAAACAATAATAGAAATAGTGGACTGTATGATAAATGTTAGGAGTTTGGAACGTGGTCCGCTCAGAAAGCCTACCTGAAACGTAAGAAAAAGGGTTACTCGATCTACAAGTTGCGCTCTTTTGTGATAACACTAGGCTTCTCTCTAGCCAAGTTAGCGAGGTATCCGAACGGCCGAAGCGTATCAATAGGTACATGTAGCGAATAAATAAGAGTTTTCTCCTCCTTTGGCGTATTATGCTGCTGTTAATTTGAGGTCGATCAATATCGTCTAAGGTCTATAGGTATCCAATCTGAGGTCGTCGATCAATCTCATCTGAGGACTGTAACTAATTTGACACAGGCATACGTGTCTTTATTTATGCCTAGCATATGGTCTCCATCAGTGTATAGGTTCTGAGATCTTTTTAACCTTCAAGGCGAAACTCCGTTTTTGATGCCACGTCCTCCAACCTGGTTTTCGCGGAGAGTATTATGTGTTATTTGTGAATCTCCAAGTCTGACAGTCATATATCATTATGGGTGAAATACATGGGTTGCTCTACTTCTCAGGCAAACTGGGATCTTTTAGTTCCTCAGGATCCATGACAGCTTGCCAAAGCCTACACATGCTAACTTAGGTCTTCGTACAATATCCACTATAAGGTAGATGTTTTCTGCTAACTATTTCCAGTATAGAGATTTCAAACGGTGACTTTTTTTCGAAATTATTCGTGACTAGTCAACAAATGTAGCATAACTTTTGGAACTGAGTACAATGTCGCTGGCGAAACGTAGCTGATTTGTGTGTTTCCTGTTCATATTCGTGCCATGTCCAGAGGACCTAGTTTGATGGATAAATCCTCTCACGCTGGCAATGTGAGAGTTTTAGTGATATCACATCTCCCTGTCTGACTTCTCTCCTGATTAAGATGGAACTAGTGGAGAGCTATACTGTCATAGAAAGATGGTATGCGTTTGCTTTTTCTATGGGAATTTTAATGATCAAAAGTACTGGAGCCATGAAAAAACCCAACCACTCCAATGGATTGGTAGCTTTCTATTTTATGTGATAAGCGAGTAGATGGTCATGAACACCTTGTATGTATATTCAGGATACTCACTCAGGAGACGGTAGTTTCTGATGTCATATCGTTTCTTGAAGAGTAGAACTACGAAGCTATTATTAATTTCTCTGGTATTTACGCATTCTTTAGACATCTATGGGAATTTTAATGGTCAAAAGTATTGGAACCATGATGAAATCCAACCTCTCCAGTGGATTGGTAGCCTACTATTTTATGTGATAAGCGAGTAGTGATGATGTTCATGAACAACTTGTATGTATATTCAGGATACTCACGCAGGAGACGGTAGTTTCTGATGTCATATCATTTCTTGGAGAGTAGAACTACAAATCTATTATTTAATTTTTCTGGTATTTCCGCAACCTTTAAACAAAGAATAATTAGTCTTTTCAGTGTTCCCTTTGCCTTTTCACTAATATATGACATAATAGCTTATTTTCCTATTCCAGTATTCCTCTTACTCCATTTTCTCCTGGTTTGTTGTTATTTTTCAGATCGCCATTTGCCTCGATCTTAAAGAGTACCCTCTCAACCTTTCCATGTTTGTATGAAATCAATACTATGTACATTTTTTGAATAATCATAGAGTTTTGTATATTTCCGTATGGTTCTCCATTCGTAGGTCGATCGAGTGTACGCCACTGGTATTTTCCTGTTTCTGACTTCCTCCTCAACCTTTCATGTTAGTATGAATTCAATCCTATGTACAGTTTTGGAATAATCATACAGTTTCCTATGTACAGTTTTTGGATAATCATACAGTTTTGTATATTTTCGTATGGTTCTCCCTTCGTAAGTCAATCGAGTGTACGCCACTGGTATTTTCCTGCTTCTGACTACCACCTCAACCTTCCATGTTAGTATGAATTCAATCCTATCTACAGTTTTTGAATAATCATACAGTTTTGTATATTTTCGTATGGTTCTTCATTCGTAGGTCGATCGAGTGTACGCCACTGGTATTTTCCTGTTTCTGACTACCCCCTCAACCTTTCCATGTTAGTATGAATTCAATCCTATGTACAGTTTTTGAATAATCATACAGTTTCCTATGTACAGTTTTTGAATAATCATACAGTCTTGTTTATTTTCGTATGGTTCTCCATTCGTAGGTCGATCGAGTGTACGCCACTGGTATTTTCCTGTTTCTGATTACCCCCTCAACCTTTCCATGTTAGTATGAATTTAATCCTATGTACAGTTTTTGAATTATCATACAGTTTTTTATATTTTCGTATGGTTCTCCACTCGTAGGCTGATCGAGTGTAAGCCACTGGTATTTTGGTGTTTCTGACATCAACTTTTCCATGTTAGTATGAATTCAATCCTATGTAAAGTTTTTCAATAATCATACAGTTTTGTATATTTTCGTACGGCAGAAATTCAAAATAATAATCACTATTATAGACTCTAATATTTTGCACACCAATATCATTTTTTTTTTTTATGATAAACTTACGAATGAAAATGTAAGTGTATTTATGCATTTTGTTTTGAGCTGTCAAAAAGTTGTAGTTAATGAAGTTCCTTGCAAATCCTTGAGCGTTATTGAAATCGAACAAGCGTAATTTTCAAATTAAATCCGAACCGCTATAAAGTGCGGCAAATTCGTATTTAGAATCAGAAAACGGGAATAGCGAAAGAAACAATAGAATGAAGATACTTGTTTTAGGGTTAAAGAGAACACATTTTCACTTCGTATTCACAACAGTAGATATTTCAAATAACACTCAGAAGAAGTAATTTAAGCCGTTTCACTATATACCTACTAAATTTCTTAAAACTCGCTACCGATTACAACTCTTTTTCTTTTGATATTCATTCCAAAAACTCTCAGATGAAAATAAAAATAATACTTTCGCTGTGACCTCTTCAGAATGAAAAAATAATTATTGCTTCTATTATTTTCCGAATTCGCTTTTGCTTACCTTAATTGTAC